GTTGCCTAGAATACGATTTACCCGAATTAGAACAACGATATCAGGATCAATTCACGAGTATACAAAATATGTACAATGCAATTGAGAGGGATGCAATTAAACAAGTTATAATCGATGGTGAATTAATGAAAAAAATGAATTCAAATGCAACTGTTATGCTCGCACAAGTTCCGACCTATCCACAGCGTTGTACATTCTGTTCACCTACCCCTCGAAAGGCAAACGACGGAATATATCTTTTGTTTGGTATAAAAGAAGAAAATAAAAAATCATTTTACGCCCTTAAACAAGATGATAATGTTCTGAGTTTACTTAAAAGCAGTGATAACGAAAAGGAATTTGCCAAAGCAGTTGCCAATGATTCATCTTTAATAATGGAAATTGCAATATTTTCCAAGACTCTTAAACAAGATAATGAAGATTACAGAGGATTTATTAATAGAGTTGCCGATATAAAGACAACACAATTTATAAATAAACTGAAAAATTATTATTATGACGAAGCAATTGGTGAGAAATTTCTAAATGTTATAAAATGTCTTATACCATTTTATAGTTGCATTGAAGATGCCAAAGCAGGAAACATAGTTGAATCCGCATTTAGCTGTACCTTAGATGTTCTCAGTCTGTTACCAATAGCAAATTTGGTAACAAAATATGCAATGAAACTAAGCAGTAGCTTTTCAATACAATATGGTAAAATGCACTTAATCACTAATACTCTTGCAAGAGCAGGGAATTTTCAAAAATTTTCAAAACTAACAATGTTGAACCAAATTTCACAAATAGCTATTCGAACAATCGGAAGAGAAATTATCACTAAAAGCTTCTTCAAAGATTTAGCTGTAGCCTCTCTTCAAACATTGGATCCTGGATTTGAAATATTTTATCACGTAGGCCGATTTGGTTCTCAAGTACTTGGCAAACTATTTCGAAATATGATTTCAAGTTTTAAAAGCATTCCCTCACTTAAAAACAGTATTTTGTTATTAAAATCTTTATTAAAGAGTTTAAAACAAAATATGCATTTATCAACCTATCGGACAGGATTAGTGCCAATGGTCCTAGCAGAATTGAATGATTATAACGTTGTTAGATACTTTTATCCTGGTGGGTTAAATTTTTTTGGACCTACATGTGTAGAATCATTAGGAACAATTGCCGAATTAAGAAGCATCGAGGAATATCCATTTCAAATTCCAGTTATACAAGTCAATTCACCTGGAGAGATTTCCTACAAACAATTCATTCCAAAAAATGGTAAAGTCATTAACACTAAACTCCAAAAAAATAACGACGATATTCTTCATCGAGTCGGGTATCTGTTATACGAAATGGCAAATGAAGGATATAATATAAATAGAATTCATAATTATCATGTGTATCATAATACAAGAAATCAAATTCCTGCTAATGAAAATCCGTCTGCAAACGTAAATCCACCTGCAGAAAGGCCACCTACATTTTGGGAATTAGCTCAATTTCCCGTGAATGCAAGACAAAATATAGTGCAACAACCTAATTTACAACAATTTTCTAATCCTCAATTTCAATCTGGAAACACAGCAAATTATAATTATCCTAATACACCCAACTCTGAATTTCAAGTTACTTTAAGAGGTAACGTAGAAACTCATAATTTTCCTCAAATTACGAACGTCGAATTTGTCACTACATTAAGGGGAAATATAGCAGGTCACAATTTTCCTCTGTCCATGAATTCTGAACTCCCATCTACATCAACAGGAATAGTTAAACCCGAATACAATTCTCCACAATCCATTGATAATAATCCATTACATTCTATGACTTTAAAAGATCTTCTGAACTCTGAAGAGAAAGCACCTTCAATCATAAAATTTCTTCATGTTAATTCTGATTTTTCTAAATCATTTAATCCAGAAATTACAGGGAGCTCCATAAATGAGAATCTTCCACTAATAGCAGATTCAAATATTCCGCAAAAGATCAGAAAAATAGAAGATTTAGAAACTTTTCCAGAATATCGTCACAAAAAATTTGATAAAAATATCCCAGAAGGATTGACAAGAAAAGATTTAATATTAAAAGATTCAGAAACCTCTGTACAAGATAATATACACGATAATATACAAAAAAATAATGCTATCGGAACATTACAACAATTTGTAGAAGATGCAAATCCAGTACCTAATAAAAATATCATAAGAGGTCGACTAATGTATAGAAAAAGTTTAGGGGATGCAATGTATGTAAAATATGCAGAATTTCTAAAAATGTTAAAAAGTAATGGTTTATCTCCTTTGAAGAAAAACAGAGAACAAATAAAATTCTTACGTACATCAGTAAATAAATTGGCTCTCATGCAATTAGATAGAAAATTTCCTCTACAAGTACCAAATAAATTGTGGTATAGTGAAATTGTAAGAGGACAAAAGATGATTGATTTTTTTGCAAATTTGAAAGGAAAAACATTTTTCTTTAATGACCTTACTGTATTAAGAAATAAAGGACCAGATGTATTAGTACCTATTGAGGAAAGTATGAAATTTAATTCTGAAGTAGAAGTTCGATATCACATAACGAATTATTCTCCATATGGATTTGTAGACTTAACTCATTTTCATTTTGAATTCCAAAATGATTATATCACATTCAATGACGTATTGTTTACAGTAACGGATACGTTTTTTACCTCACATAATAAAATATTAAATATTGAGTTGAAGAATCAGGATATGTCGTTTAATCAATGGCGAAATTCGAGAAAGCAAGATATTAAAAATTTGTTTCAGGAAGATAAAATTGTAGAATCTTCTAGAATGCAAAGTATTAATAGAGCTGCAAATTTCATGACAGAAAATGCACCTATGTGCACTTTTAAATTAACAAAGAATTTTTTTTCAAATTACATTTTAAATCCATTACCAATTAGTTTAAATCACGTTCCAACTTACGATATGTTTGCCGAGCAAATGAAAAATATGAAAATTGTGAATTCTTTTGGTAATTGGAAAATAGACTATCATCGTTACACTTATGATGTATTATACAAATTTCTTCTAGATGAAATTGTTGACTTGTCTGAAGCACAACGAAGAATTAATTATTTATATGATTTCGTTTATTTACAAAATATAGAAGAGGTATTTGCTAATTATGAAAAAATAATACATATTAAAATGCATATTCGATTTGAGGATTATTATGTATTATATTCTTACATAAGGAAAAAGTTTCATATGAATAAAGATGGAATAAATCGATTTGAAGCTGCAATTAATCGACTTGCACTTAGACAAAGTAGTAATCTTATAAGACCAATTAAACTTTATAGTAGTGGAATGTTTAGTAGAGAAATGTCAGCAAATTTTCTTGAATCATTACAAAAGAAAGAAATTATTGCATTTGATCAATTTATGAAGTTTTCTACAAGGCGAAGTGTGGAAGAGGCAAGATTTGTTAATCAACCAAAAACTTCATCTGAAATTCCATTTTTAATGGAAGTTTCATTGAAGAATCAGGTAGGCGTTGCTGACGTTGATCGTATTTTAAATGATGAAAATTTATCATATATTATTACTTCAAAATTTGATTTCATACTTGAAGATATACGTTTTAAAAGAATTCACAATCAAGAAGTGATGATTCTGAAAATGACAGATTATGATAGTCCAACAGAAACAAGAATGGTTCAAATGGCAAGAAGACTTCATGAACTATTTTCAACAGAAACAAAGTTTTACTCGGATCTTACACTTTTTTGAATATAATTTTTTAAAAATATTTTTGTTATATGAAAAAGAAGATTATAAATGAAGTGAAAGAAAAAAAAATAGATTTGGAAATTTTAGAAATTATTCAAAATTTAAATAATAAATCACAAGATCCGACAGAGTATGCAATATGGCGAGACAGTTTAAAGTCCTAATAAGAAAATTTTATAATTTTTAATATTTTAAAAATGTTTGTAATATTTTTCATTATTTATAATGAATCAATTTTCGAAATTTTTTTTTTGGAGTTGTTACTTTTTTCAAAAACAGTTTTTAAAGAAGAATAAAAAAAATTGTTTGTATTACAATGTAAGAATTTTATTGCATTTTCTTTTCCTTTTTGACATTAAATTGAATTCAAAATTAATCCTTTTACCCTATTTAAAAAATAGCACGGTTTCTTGCTGTAAGGTTACTGTAAGGATATCTGTAGGGCTTGTACTCTCTAAATCTGAATCAGTCATATTTCACTGATTAGCAGTACACAGAAAATTAAAAGGCATTAAAATAAGCTGCAACGCTTATTATTTTAATCCAATTTTGCTTATTTTAATCCATTTTGGTATTAAAATAAGCAAAATTGGATTAAAATAATAACCGTTGCAGCTTATTTTAATACCTTATAATTTTCTGTGAAGCTAATATTTTATAGAGATTTATTACTTTCATATAAAATAACAATTTACCAAAGTATTAAGCCAATACAAATTTTTTTTTATTTTTACTGGCTTTTTTCTCAGAGAATGCCTCGTGTGTAGTTTTTGCTACTCATATCTAGGGAATTGTGGGGAATTTCAAGTTTATTGACCGTGTTGTTTGACAATTTTCCGCATAACTATTTATACATGTGTTTGATTTGCATTCGTTTTCGTTATATAGTGCCCACGTGCAAGTTTAATAATTTATTCGAATAAATATTATACTCAAACATTTATATAATATGTCTGATGAATTTACATTAAAAACTAGCTGACAAAATAAAATTCACAAAATTTTATATTCTATATATTTTACAGATAAAATATAAAATAACATTTTTCTAATATAGTCATTTATCATGATTAAAATCTAACCTATACAAAATTAAGCTAAAATCTGTTTTATTATTGAGAATTATAAAAATTGTCTAAAGGTTATTTATTTAAAAAAATTTAAATTATTACTTTTTCATATTTTCTTTATATATTATAGTGCTAAAATAAAAAAAAATATATATATATAATACGAAATATCAATTAAAGTTCTCAACATCAGAAACTTTATTCGACTTGTCTTTTCTTATCATATTTGCGGTTATATGTATAAAAAAATTCCGTTAGATAAGAGATTTAATTCATATTTGTTTAGTTCTAACAAAACTTTTGCTGAAAACAGATGTCAGAGAACTTAACAAACATGCCGGTAATTATTATCAATTCATTTATTGAATGATAATTTTTTATCTAGAAAAACAAAAATTTTGTTTTTAAGTTTACTTAATCAATTTTTTTTAATTTCTTTTGGTTAATAAAAATATTTCAATTTGTTTCAATTTAAAAATATGAAGTATACCAATAAATCTAATATAAAGATTATAATTATATTATTATTATATAATTTAATATATTTTATTTCAAATAAAAAAATTTAATTAATTTTAATATTTACTTTAAAGAATTAATAAATAGATCTTTTATTTTTATTTAGAATGTTGAGTTGAAGTTCAGAGGTCTTATTGCACCAGTATTTACGCCATACAATAATGACAAGTAATCAAATTATTATTTTTATAAATCAAAATATTTTTTTTTATTCACAATTTTTTGTCATATATATATGTTTTAATTAAAATTTATTGAGATATAATTTAAATTTAACATATTTTCTTTTTAATAGTTCGCAAACTATAAATTTATCAATTATTACCCAATATGCGGAATATCTTGCGAAAAAAGGAATCAATGGAGTGCTTGGTTTGTAATTTAATATATTTTCAAATTTTATAATAATTGTTTCATTTCATCTTACACGCTACAAACTCAGATGCAATTATTTATAATGAAAAAAAATGGTAGAATTTAAAAAATTATTTCTCTTAGAATATTAATTAGTTAGTAAAATCTTAACTGAATTTTCATTTCATTAATTAGTAAAAAATAACTATTTATTTGTAAAAAGTAACTAATTTTTAATAAAATAAAAATAAATGAAAATTAGTTAAACTTTACTCATTCAAATAATTACCAGAAATTATAGTTATTTTAACATTTAAGCTAAAAATGAATTTAAATAATAATAATTCGTTAATTAATAATAATCAATTAAATTAATAACTAATTAGTAGAAATATTACTATTTGAATCGGTAACTGTATTTTTTATATAAAATTTGATATTTTTAACCAATTCAAATTTGTAGTTTTCAACAAAAAAAAATAATAATAGTGCGATTCCAGGTGAGATTTTGACTTTTTCGGAGTAGGTTAACCGATTGCAATGAAACTTTGGAATTTTGTTATATATAGTAAGACTAATCTTTAACGTAAATTTCAGCTTAAAATATTTGTTAGTTTACGAGATTTGCAATAATAACAAAAAAATTTAAACTGCTATATCTTCCTTTCTAATAATCGGATTGAGGTCTACTATTTTTTAAAATGTCAAGGAAAATGAGAGGAATAAATCTCTTTCAGAACAATTTTTTTATAATTTTACAACTAAAAATTAAAGTATGTTCTATGAAGTTCTATCTATGAAAGTGATTTAAGGAAATACACAGAAAAAACGCTGGGTAAATTTTGTTGCGGTTAATTTTCACCAATGCTAATTCACATAGACGGTGGCGCCCTCAACTAGGATAAAATTTGTTGCAGGTAATTTTTATACCGATTTTGGGGTAAAAATTCTACTTTTTTTTCGTGTGTACATACAAAACTAAATGTAGACATTGTGATTTAGAGAAAATTAGTATTATTGAACAATAACAATTATTTTTGAAATTAATTGATATAATATGGTAAAGCAGATTCAATTTATCAAAAATTAATCTTCTCCTTTGATAATAATGTAATTTAATTTATGTTATTCTTTATTGTATAAACTTATACTGAACTTTAACCTTTATAGCGTCTACCTAGATTTAGTTAATATTTTATATTGTTACTTACGTAACTATTAGAATTTAGGAGTACTTTTGTACGAAAGGGAAAAACCGTTAATAAATGAAATTTAAAAAAATTATTAAATAATAATTGAATAAATTTCAAGCGACAATCTAAAATTCAATCACTTAAACGCTAAAATGATCTTACCTGTGTTTTCTTTAATGTTCCAAAGGAATCCAATTGTAAATGCAAGTTTAACTTTGATAATTTTAATAATTTACGAGTATAAACAATTGCGATTTCTGCTAGTCGGCGTGCAGACGACATTGCGCACGCACCATTCTCCTGTAACCAGCTGACGTGATTCGTGGACTAAATTGGCTACGTGAGAATGCTGCGTGCGCAATGTCGTCTGCACGTCAACTAGCAGAAATCGAAATTGTTTATACTCGTAAATTATTAAAATTAAATAAGTTAAACATGCATTTACAATTGGATTCCTTTGGAACATTAAAGAAAACACAGGTAAGATCATTTTAGCATTTAAGGCCAGGTCCAAGTGAGGCAGCGCCATCTACATTGATACTAAAATTTTGGAAAATTTTCAACAGCCTTTTCTTGAAAACAAGAAGGTAAAATGCTTTTTCCTTTATGGATAATTGATTATTGGCAAGATATACACCAGCTAAAACTTTTTTTAAGTTAAAATAATGAAAAAAATTTCATGTCGATAAATTAAATATGAGCACTTTTTCTCACAAAAACTGTAACAGTACTTTCTCAGAAATTACAATCAAAAATGCAATTTCCATTTGGAAAATTAATAAACGCTAAAAAATACACCACCTAAGATTTACCAATCACGAAAATAATAAAAAAAATTTTATTAAATATTTAACATATTGATACTGCTTTACTGATTGTGACAGCCCTTTGGTAGATTATGTATTTCAGGTGGTTAGCAACAGCGCCAATCTCCTCCTTTCGGCAAAACTGCGAAACGTCTGATGACATATATAACCTGCCAAACGGCTGTCATAATGAGTAAAATATGTTATGTTAAAATACTTTTTTTTGTTATTTTCGTGATTGGTAAATCTTAGGTCGTGTATTTTTTAGCGTTTATTAATTTTCCAAATGGAAATTACATTTTTGATTGTAATTTCTGAGAAAGTACTGTTACAGTTTTTGTGAAAAAAAGTGCTCATATTTAATTTATTGACATGAACTCTTTTTCATTATTTTAACTCAAAAAAAGTTTTAGCTGGTGTATATCTTGCCAATAATCAATTATCCATAAAGGAAAAAACATTTTACCTTCTTGTTTTCAAGAAAAGGCTGTTGAAAATTTTCCAAAATTTTAGTTTCAATGTAGATGGCGCTGCCTCACTTGGACATTTTAAAAAAAAGTAGACCTCAATCCGATTATTAGAACGGAAGATATAGCAGTTAAAAATTTTTTGTTATTATTGCAAATCTCGTAAACTAACAAATATTTTAAGCTGCAATTTACGTTAAAGATTAGTCTTACTATATATAACAAAATTCCAAAGTTTCATTGCAATCGGTTAACCTACTCCAAAAAAGTCAAAATCTCACCTGGAATCGCACACAAATAATTTTTTTTTTAAGTGGGTGGAACGTCTGGTGAAGGGACATCTTTATCTTTAACGGAAAGAAAACTAATTTCTGAGGAATGGGCAAAAGCAGTGAAAAAAACAAAGCAACATTTAATGATTCAAATTGGTGGTGCACCACTTCCTGATGTTCTAGAACTTGTACGTTAATTATTATTTATTAGAACGAATTCAAAAGCCAAAAAAATTAAAAATTTATAATTAAAAATATTTTCTAATTTCGTAAAAAATAATAATGTATTTTTTCTTTAAATTAGGCAAAACATGCTGAAAGTTTAAAAGTCGATTCTCTTCTTTGTCTACCGGAACTTTATTTTAAACCATCGAGTGTAGAGAATTTAATTAATTACATGGAAATTGTTTCTAATGCCGCTCCAAAAACACCTTTATTATACTATCACATTCCAATGTTTACAAATGTTAACAGTTAGTATAATTTAATTATACATTTTTTTTAGAACAAGGATTTTTTTAAAAAATAATTTAATAGCCAATGTAAATATCACCGAAAAAACGTAATTCTAAAAATAATATTTTCTTGTCGACTATTTAAGAATGGAAAATATTCCTAACTAGGCGCCAAGAAAATATTCTTAAATTTAAAATTTCGCTTTTTCGGTGTAGAAATAGTAAAAAAAAAAAAAATCTCAAAGAAAATAAACAAAGAATAAAATATAAAAAATCTTTATAGTACATATGGGAAATTTCTTGGAAATTATTGGCGAAAAAGTGCCAACATTTTGTGGCATTAAATTTACAAGTAGCAATTTAGATGAAGGTGCTCAGGCATTAAAAGCAAATAATGGTCGTTTTGCAATATTTCTCGGCAATGATCAAGTAAGTTTTTATTAAAAGAATTAAATTATCTTTTTGTTATTATTAAAACTCACAAGTTAAAGAATTTATACTTTTTTTTTTTAATTATAAAAATTTTTAGTTAATTTCGGCTGCTTGCTCCATGGGAATGGATTCATTTATAGTTACTACATTGAACATATTTCCAGAGTTTTCATTAAAAATTTTAGAATCGTGGAAAAATAATGATTTTAAAACTGCTCAAAAGACACAAGAAAAACTTTCAAAGGCCGTTCATCTTATTTCAAAACATGGTCAGTATAAATTGAAAATTTAGAAAATTTTTTAAAATTTTACCGTAAAATGAGGTAAAGTCGGCGTTTGAGGGTAAAGTCGGCCGGCGCTTTAAATCATTTTAAAGTTTAACTATTACTTTTTTCCAGAAGAAATCCGAGTTTTATTAAAAATGTAGTTAGAATTAATGTAAATTAATAAATGAAATACAATATTTAAGTGTTTAAAGCGCCGGCCGACTTTACCCGCAAACGCCGACTTTACCTCATTTTACGGTATATGTGTGTTTTATAATTTTTATATAATTCAACAGGTAATTGGGTAGAAACAATGAAATTTGCCATGAATTATTTATCTCCTCTAAATATGGGAAATGCTCGATCACCATTAAAAAGACTTTCACAAGAAAGTGAAATGTCAATGAAATTTGATTTGTTAAACTTCGAAGAATCTTTGTAATCAATAAAACTAATTGTATCAATAACAAAAATTTGTACATTCGATTTTTTGAAGAATCATAACAACTGTATAAAAAGATGAAAAAAATTCAAAATTTACCCCTTTTTTGAAAATAAAAAAATTTTTTACATTTTTTTTTTAAAAAAAGGACCCTTTTTCATAAAATGGCAAAAAAAGGGGTAAATTTTTAATTTCATGCCTCCGATCGACTTTAAGGCACAAAAAAAGTCGTCTTAGTTGATTTATATTCCAAAGAAAGTGGAAAAAAGTCGATTTTTTTTATTTTAACAAAATTTAATTGGTTAATAAATATTTTACTTTAAATAACTAATGTTATTAGATATTAAATTCATTTTATTAATTTTATAATGAGAAAATAATTCTATCAAAATATTAACAAGAAAATTTATTTCGAATATTTCAGAATCGAACTAATTGTAAAACAAATTTTCAAAAATTCATTTAAGTAGGACTAATTTCTAAAAAAAAAAATTCTTAAAGTTCCATTTTTATAATTTTTTCAAATCTGATTTAAGCAATTTATTCGAATTTAAAATTTTGTCATAGTTTTTAGTTTGGATGGTCAAAAAAATTTCAGGCAACACTTAATCAAGTTTTACAGATTTTTAAATAAATTTTTTTTTTTTTAAATAATAATTTTGGAAGAGTTAAAGTTGAAATTTTTAAAAATAATTGAATTTCAAAAGATTTTGTTAATTTTGAGAAAATAATTAAATTTTACAGAACTAAAAATAATTTATCAAATAATTTTAGATAATATTTTTTAAAAATAATTGAATTTTCAAAAATTTAGAGTTTAGATTTTTGAAATTAATTCAACTTAAAGTGATTTTTAATTTTAAATTTTTAATGATTTCACTAAAAAATTTATTAGAAATTGCAGACAAAAATACAATAATTTGAAAACTTTTTAAGCCAAAAAGTGGTTTCAGATAATTGAATTTTCGAAGAATATTATAAAAATAATTTAAAATAATTGAAATTTTTTTGAATAATTAAATTTCAAATTGATATTGAATGAAAAATTTTTAGTAATTTTATTTGCTAATTTTTTTGAAAATTATAAACAATTATTAAATTTCATAAAAATTTTAATTGAAAAATAGTTCAAGATAATTGAATTTGTGAAGAATTTCATTAAAATTATTAAAAATAATTAATTTAGTGAAGAATTTTAGTTAAAAATTTGTTAAATAATTGAAATAAAGAAGATTTGAAGATTTGCGTTGTATACTAAAAAAAATGTATTTTGTATTTTGATTTTTCAAAAAATCTAATGTTCAAATTTAACCAAAATTTTAATCCTCTTCCCCCTCTACAGTTTTTGATAAAAATTAATAATAATAATTTATGGTTGAAGTACTTATCTATAATACTAAATGTTATGCAAATTACAACCCGATCTAAGAAAAAAAATTTTTTTTTTTTGAATCAGTACACTTCAGAAATTTTGCCTCCTATATAATAAATAAAATACTGTTTAAAAATTTTCAAATAAAGTATATATAATATATATAATTTTCTAAACAAATCATATCAATAAAATATTGGAAAAAAGAGAACACAATTACTTATACATATAACAGATAAATGTATGTATAATTCATTAAATTGTCATTACTTGTTCGTCAATTAGTCCGGGCATTATAATATATTCTAAAACAATAATCATTTGATCCATTCTTAATGTCATAAAATAATGAATTAAGTTTGTTTCATGATTGTAAATTAGGTTTATAATAACTACGACACTTTTCATTATAAGCAGAAATTGTACGTTTTTTAACAACTTCCTCAACACTTAATTCTGATTCAAGTAAACGTAATGTACTTTGTTCTTTTCTTAATTGTTTCAATATTGTTATATCATCTTGTGCCGCTGCATCTTTTTGTGATTTTAAATTTTTCACTCTTTCACGTGAAATGTCTAGACACTTTTTTATTGCTATTTCACGTTGTGAATGTTCCGTTTGTATTTGTTGAAATAAATTTTTACACTGATTTGTTGGATCCACTTGTCCTCTAAATGAATCAGTTGGTAAAATTGTATTCAATAAGTATATTATTTTATCGTCCATTTGTCGCATTTTTTTCAATGAATCCTAGAAGTAAGAAATTTTTTTTTTTTAAATAATTTCTAAATATAAATTATAAATTAGTTAATTTATTATACACTAAAACGTCAATCGAGAACAGACGAATGTGCAGTGCTGTTCTCGATTGACGCGATTTTTATCGCTCGAAAATAAAAACACTCAGGGCCGTATGAAGGGCCTTACGCAACAATGTGAATTCTATCTAGGGGATTTTCACTAGTGGGGCACTGAATCCACCTTAAATTTAAAAATCACAAGTACGACTTTGGCGTCAGTCATAACCTAAATTCTACCCGCTTCCCCACTTCCCTTCAAGTGTTCCCTTGCTCTGTTCTCGACTGACGTGTTCTCGATTGACGTTCTAGTGTATATGTTTCAAAAAGCATTTATTATGTTATATGCACTACAATAATGAATATATAGGTCATTCTATAGGAAATTTTCATTTAAAATTTTCTTTTTCCCCAAAACATTTTTTTTCAAAATCTATATGAAAAATAAGAAAAATGGGAACAGGTGGACCCTACGTATTTTCTTATTTTTTTATTTGATAAAAATAAAGGAAGTTATAATTTTTTTTTAAATCTAACGTCATCAAAGGCAGTGTACTTTTGAAAACATTTTTTTTATCCATTGTACTAATGAATAAAAAATTATGCTGTATATGAAATTTGTTCACTTTTTCTCAAAATTTTCATAAATGTGCTCAAAAATAACGTACCTATAACGGGAAGCAACAAAAAATTTGAAATTATATTTTAAAAGTGAGTTTTCACAAAGATGGACAGTTTCGAATTTTAATTTTTTTTTTTGCACTGCAATCTCTGATGACTGAAGAATTTTTTCCCCTATCTGCAAAAGTGGGGTTTTCAGTTTTTAAATTACTATTTACAATTTTTAAGTTAGACGTAAAAATTTATAGTATGTATTTTTGAAAATAAAAAAAAACAAATAAATAAATGATAATGGAAAAAGGTTATATTTAAAGTATAACTGCTTGAAATTCTGTGAGCCGTACTAATAAAACTAAAAACTGTAATTTAAAAACTAAAAACACCACTTTTGCAGATAGGAGAAAAAATTCTTCAGTGCAAAAAAAAAAAAAAAATTAAAATTCGAAGCTGTCCATCTTTGAGAAAACTCACTTTTTAAATTTAATTTCAATTTTTTTGTTGCTTCCGTTATTTTTACGTTATTTTTTAGCACATATTTGAAAAATTTGAGAAAAAGTGAACAAATTTCATATACAGCATAATTTTTTATTCATTAGTACAATAGATAAAAAAAATATTTCAAAAATACACTGCCTCTGGTGACGTTAAATTTCAAAAAATCATAACATAAAAAAATACGTATTTTCTTATTTTTCATCTGGATTTCGAAAAAAATGTTTCAAGTGAAAAAAAATTTTGAATGAAAATTTCCCGTGAAATGCCCCATATAGAAAGTATTGGTTTTGTGAAAATCTGAATTTAATAATGTTCGAAAAATTTAAGTTCTATTATTATATTATTATTATTATTATTACTATTTTCGATTATAGTATTACAATTTTGAAAATTTTTTCTATATTGAAATTATAGTATTTAATGAACCAAAATTTCTGAACGTTCAAATGAACGAAATATTTTTTTCAATCTATAAATTATTAAAAATTATGATCACAATAAAAAATAAAACAATAAATTAAACAATTATTTAATTAATAACTTCTTTTTAGATAATTAAACAAATATTTTGTAATAAAATTAGTACTTAAAGAAGTTGAAAAATAAATGTCGTTTATTTAAACGTTCAAAACTTTTGTCTCATGTATTTAATTTTTTTTAACTAATTTGTTGTTTATATCAAAATAACAATTTATAGGGACTAAATTAAACAAAAAAAAAAAATTTATAAACACCAAAACTAACTTGAATGTTAATAACATTGAGGTTAGGTACTCTAAATGCATTTTTTAAATTTTGTAACAAAACGTAATTTTTATAAATATTGAAATTTTAGATATCCTATATGTTAATTTTATATTTTCATATCTTCAATGATTGAAATTTTAAGTGCCAGCTTTAGACTAGAAAATTTCGCCAACAGTGAAATAAAAAAAAAAAAATAATCTTTAAATTAATATTTTCACGTACATTAATAAAAATGTATGATCTAATTTTTCAGCTATTTTTTTATTTTATACTGTTCTCTAAATAATTGTAGATAATTTTTATTCTTTTAATAAAATTTTTGAATAATTTTCATTCAAGTTTTAAAGAAAAATTTTGTAAGTTCACCGGTTTTTAAGGTTAGAATGCAAACTATAAAATGATATAGTTCGTTAAAATGAGTAAATAACACAAAAAATTAATTTTTTTTAATAAATTATATTAGATTATTAATGAATATAATGTTGATATTAATTAACAATAAAAATTTTACCTGGAATTCCAAAAAATCAATGCATTCCATGTTTTTAGTTGTAGCCATTGTTGGTTAAGACACGTTATTTTTTTTTTATGTTAAAAAATATCTATATCTATGTAGCAGAAGACAATTTCTACGATATTCACTTGTGGATAAAAAAGATAATACATTGAACTCGGTTTAATATATTTGTATATTTACCAAACGATGATAATGCAGCGTTCTACTTTTAATAATTTATATATTAAACTATTCTTATATGTGAACATAAACAAATTAGTTTAGTTTATTTTGAAAATTTGTAAAGGAATTTTATAAAATTATTGATTATTAAGAAAAACATAAAATTATTTATAAATATATCTATAGTCGGTCAGAGTATAAGGAATGGGAAATAAATACAATGAAAAAATCAGAGGTGACGCTACAACTTCAGTTACCGTTTATCTAATAAATCTATACATTTAAAAAGACTCACGTTTCACAATAAAAATAACGCATACTTATAGGGGATTATTCCACAAACGTCCCAGTCAAAAATTTTAACTTTTTCAATTACCTATAAACTTTGGTAAATAGTTCTATATGAAAGTAAACAATCATTAAAATATTAAATCATTTAAAAAAAAATTTGTGAGAAATAATATAAAAAATAAAGTGAACAAAAAATTTCAAAATTTTAAATTTTCGAGATAAACTCTCGGGCATAAGAGGAGAATTATTCCCACCCGTGTGGAAAAGTCGACTGGGTCCCAATCTGGTCCAGACTGGGTTTGGTCCAGACTGGGTTTCCCACTGTCCAAAGTGGGCAACCCAGACAACGCCCAAACTGGGCGCGTAACGCTGATCCCAAAGATTTCCCAAGGTTGGGAAATCCCAGCTGGGGCCAGATTGAGTTATTCCATTTTTATTTATAATTGTTAATTAATAATTATGGATACTTGAAAGAAAATTTTTTTATTAATTTAGTTAACCTCAAAACCGGATTCTCTGTTGCATTTTTTTTTCTGCCTCAACTGCGATTAAAAAAATGCAACATAGAATCCGGTTTTGAGGTTAACTAAATTAATAAAAAAATTTTCTTTTAAGTATCCATGTAAGTATAGGTTAAAAAACAACGGTTAAACTAATATGATCGCGAGATATAGTAAATTACTAATTATGAAAATATTATTATTACAGTGATATTGAAAATGACATACGTGTGATTTCGAAACGTTTATCTGACGTCGTTGGAAGTGTATATATATATTTACAATGACTAAAATAAAATTATGACTTATTAAAAGAAAAGAAAAACGAGTTTTTAATGTCAAATATTAACAAAAGAGTAAATTAAATGAATAAATATAATTTCCTTTTAAATTAAATTGTATTAAAGATGACGACTAACAAACAATGTATATAGTAAAAAAAGTGAAAAAAATATTTATATAATTTAAAAATTAAATAATAGTGTATGTATTAGATTTTCAAGTTTTGGTAAAACTTATAAATTAAAATCTAGAAATAACGCAAACCTATGAAATAAACAAAACTGCGCACGAGGGGAATTGAACCTACGACCTACGGACTTATAGATTAACGCTCTAACCACTATGCTAACGACGCGTACCTGCAGACAAGTTTTAATTTCTCAGTATCAAAGATGTGAAAAATATGATTAGGTTAGACAATAAATTAAAATATAATAAATTTTTAATTATTATAGTAAAAATATCACTTACTTAATTTAACATTTTTACCAGTAATAATTTAGATTAATAAGTACCAAAGTATAGTTGTCGTTGAAGTCAAAATTTTGTTTAAATAATTTATTAAATTAGTTATGTTCAATTATTATTAATAAATTGAATAAAAATAGGAAATAAATGATTGAGAATGGGATCAGAGTGGGAAAGCCCAAACTCAAAAAACGACTAAGTTATTATTATTATTAATTAGCTTAGTTCAATAAATTAAAAACTAAGAACTTGACATACATTTTATTTATTCAGGGAAGGTATTTTTTAAGCATTAATATAATTAACTAAAGTTTTCAATTTCCTTATTTTTTCTTAAATGTGAATTTTGCCCATATTGGCTTTTGGAAAAATCTCCAAACGGCATATAAACTAAATATAAATATAATTAACTAGTTTTATTATTTCTCATTTTTTCATTTATTTATAACAGAATATTAAATTAAATTTCAGTTTGGGAATACTTTGGGAAATCCCAGTTGGGGCCAGGTTGGGTTGACCCAAACTTTGCCCAAGTACAATGAAAAACAAAAATTTTTTTCAGCTTTTCACAGTTGCGCTTTTTTGTATATTTGTTCAGGATATTATTTAAATAATAATTTAATTAACTTAATAGTGTTCTAGAAAAAACATGTACTAAAAAATTTTGGGACGCATGAGTAAGCTCTAAAATTTTTTTTTCTATAATTATGATATTCTTATTGAAAATTTTCGACGCATTTATCTCAAAATGCCAATTTCAAATTCGGTGGACGTGATATCACAGAAAATATTTATAAAAACCACATATTTATTTTAGATCAAAATTACTCGTGATGGGCGAAGGGTTTTCATTTAAAATTATTAGAACTTGTTTTACAAAAAAATGTCTGATTTATAAAATTAAACATTTTAGATTATGTCGCTACGATCCTAGAAAAAAAAGGACTTACCGTTCGTGGATTTCCTCGACGAATTGATGGCATTATCACTTCTTCTGGTCCAGTCCACAATAATTGAAGTAAAAGAACACTCACACACGATTTTAAACATTTCGAACACTCACGAAACACGTGTTAACTGTAAGAAACTATCATTATTTACTTTTTACATACGATCGCGATTTTAAACATTACGAACACTTTCGATATTGACAAATTATTTTAATTTACATAAAAGATAATTAAAAAAAAAAAATAAATTCAATACCCTATATGACAGTCGCATCACGGGTTTAAAAAATACGAACACTCCCGAAAGATAAAAATTTACTCTTGTAAAAATTATATAATTATACAAATATAAACACGTGGTTTTTATCATGAACGCGACCGCACGTTGAACGTATCAATATTTCTGACAACTGATCCCCACTCTTCAAAATGAATTTGAAATCACACGTGATTGTAAGAAAATTAAACGCGGCTTATTAATTATGATTTTAAAATTTTTACACTAATTACGTAAAAACAAAGTATGGAAGTGTAAAATTGTGAGTAAAAGAAGAATTCTTTTTTCTTTCTAACTCTTTTGTTTTCAGAGGCGTAGGACTGAATTTTTTTCAAGGGTCTCAAAATTATTTAGAGCACTTAACGTAAATATTCGTTCGATAGAAAAAGAAAAGAAAACCAATCTTTATCTCTTTCTAGTAACGCATGCGCGGTAGCTAAGAAACTGCATAATGAAGTGTCATGGCTGATAATGTTGTCAAATATCAGTGATCATTTGAGCAATACTATAGTAATGCTAAAGTATTACAAAATGAAAATATATGAACAATTTTCAAAATTCAAAATAACGGATCCAATATGTCGGAAAAAATTTAAAAATTGATTTAATTCACTTGATATTTGTTACACGGGGATTTTTAGACTCGCTGAATACGAATCTGACGTCAGTATTTCATCATTCAAAATGGTAGAGCCAATATAGTCGACAAATTAAAAAAAAAAACATTGTATTTGAAAAAAAAGTTGGCTATGTCATTTTGAATTTTGTAAAAATGACGTAGGATTTGTATTCGCTGCAGCGAGCTCAAAAACCCCCGAGTAACAAGTTTTAAGTGAGTTTAATCAATTTTTCCACTTTATTTGATCCGCCATTTTGAATTTTTGAAAACTGTCGATATATTTTCATTTTGTAATACTTTCACAGAAAATTAAAAGGCATTAAAATAAGCTGCAACGCTTATTATTTTAATGCCTTTTTATTTTCTGTGTTAACATTACTAGTGCTTAATTTAGAGATTATTTAAACATTTTTTGCTACTTTTATAATGTTTTAATTATAAATTTTCAATTTTTCAGACATATAATGTGTCATATTTTGGCCGCCATTTTGAATTTTTTAAAAAGCCATGTTTTAAATGAAACTGATCTGTTTGACGTGGAACGTATATATACATTTAAAAAATAATAACCAAGTGGGCAAAAATCTATATTCGTTTCAAAAACGTTCTTAAAATTATTTTAGAACGTTTCATGTCAGCTAAAAAATGTTACAGAACATTATTTGAATATCTACACGGAGAGAAAAATCTGCCTTTTATAGTATAGAAAGGTTTACATTTAATGCACAGAAATTTTCTATGCTATATAGGCATGAAATTTGAGTAATTATAGTACAATCGTATGTCTTTTTAGCATGAAACTTGTCTATGCTAATAAAGTTTGTCATATAGCCTCTTATTACATACTTATTATACTTTTAATCCAACGGCGCCATGCGAAGATCGCACATAACATCATCCTACTATTTTTGCATAAGTTCTATGCTTTTTCGGGGATAGACTCTTGCAACTGGCGATTAGGGCAGTTCCAATTAAGTAAAGGTGGGCGTGGCCTAATCGCCAGTTGCAAGAGTCTATCCCCGAAAAAGCATAGAACTTATGCAAACATAGTAGGATGATGTTATGTGCGATCTTCGCATGGCGCCGTTGGATTAAAAGTATAATAAGTATGTAATAAGAGGCTATATGACAAACTTTATTAGCATAGACAAGTTTCATGCTAAAAATTCTCAAATCTTAGCTCTATTAGTATGAAAAGTTTAAAGAAAAATAGCAGCAATCTATTTCATACTATAAAAGGCAGATTTTTCTCTCCGTGTATGTTCTTAAAATGTTTTAAAACATTATTTGGCGAACATGAAACGTTCTTAAATTTTTTTTAGAACGAACATGGTTTTTTGCCCACTGGAAAACTGTATTATTTTCTTTCTTAATTTACCAGAAAAATTTAAACTTTTAAATTTAAACAAACGATATATTACTGCTTATTCTTGTATATATATCATAACCTATAAACAAGCAGTGTTGCCAACCAGTAATTTTCCAAAAATTTCGGTTTTAACTAAAAAATTACTAAACATTCATTGGATTTCGTTGAAGTGTGACCGGACAAATGTTTCTGCATGCGTGCACAGTGCATGCATGAAATAGTGTG